TCTGCGCGCCAACCCGGATTGTCACAGTCCTTGGTATTAGTAGTTCTTCTGAGCAAGAGCGTCCGCCCAACCCACGTTGATTACATTTTGGAGCCAGCGGCCATCCGGCTCGAGGCAATCGAAGGTGTTTTGCACCTTGATCCTGCTTGGATGCCATTCCTACAGTTGCCGAGGGGTGCATACCAACCAGACTGGCTGGAACGGTGGTCTCCGAGGCCGGGAGGCGGCCTAACGCCATGTATCACTTCCTGGTAGTCACGCCATTAACGTGGGATCGATACGGAGACCCACTTAGTTATGACGGGTCCCGAAAACCTTACTGTGCTACGGCGGTTCATTCGCACAGTAGCAGATCTGGCGCCACATGTGCTATCGCACATGCCAGGGGCTTTACTGTACCCCTCCTTCATCCAGATGCAGCATCACTTCAATGAAGTAGATGCACCGACGCACCTTTCGCTTGGGCGGCCTTTCTTCCTCCCCTCCCTCCCCCTCTTAATACTGAACTTGATCACTTCGCTTGAGCTTGGCCTCTCTTTCTTTTTCTTCTTCTTCTCGTTTGCTCTATTTTCATATCAAGGCGAATGTAAAAGAGTGAGCGAAAAATCGCGTTGTAAAGCTTGAAAGATTTACGATGGGGCCAGTTGACGATGAAGTGGCTGCCCGATCTGTAGGCGAAGAAGGGCGTGGGATGCACCTTTAGTAGAATAGTGGTCATCAAGGCCAGCAGACGATGAAGAGGCCGCCTTGGTCATCAAGGGAACCGGGACACGTGGCAGGCAGTTGGGAGACTGCCAATTTTTCTAAACCCCATATGCGTCATAAATGTGATAAGCTGGGATCCGTACTTCGCGTGTTCACGTACCCTTTGGACTGAAATCTGAGGTAAGCGCCGAAGCACGTATCTTAGCTGATCAAGAAAGCAAGGTCCATTTTTCATTTTTGAGGTACTAAAGGCATGCATCTTTCCAAATTGCCCCTATCCCCATTCAAAATATGTCTCCTCGCGGAGAGTTAGCAACCGCGCCTTGAAATTCAAGAAACACTTAGGAATAACGGTTGTCGACATTCAAATTTTTCTCGTGTCAAAGCGCGCATGGCCATTTTTGAAATCATGCATGTCGCGTAAGCTCCGTTCTTGCTATGCATGTGTGTGTCATCTTCCTTTCCGGCTCAGCGCTTCTCCTTGCATGTCCTTACTTCTTCCCCCGACTCTGCGCCCGATCCTCCCCGTACCCTTCGGGGCAGTCGATTGGTCGTTAATTTGGATGGCCGGATCAATCCCGTGGAAGAGAACTTGTGCGCAGGGCTTGGACGACCGCCTCGCCTCCTTCGATCCTTCTAAACCACCCTCTCTTTGTCTGTCCTGCTCAATTACACCCCTTGCTGCCCACACCACACACTGGCACCCCGCCGCCTTCCACGCTTTTAATTCCCCCGCAGCCCCTTCCTCTCCTCCTCTTTTGTCTTGTCTGCAATGTCACGCGAGCTATGTGCAAAGACCGAGGCGTCGAACAGGCTCGACATGCATAAGCGACGGGTAGAATGACGACGGAAGGTGGGATTAGCGGTAGACTTCTCGGTACGTGCGTGCGGAGGAACTGAGCGGTGGTGGAGATAGAACGTAACCAGAGGCAGGGCCTTGAGGCTATGGTTGGTTGACGTTCAGGTTGGTTGGGGGCCGTGCCTGAGAGAGGCTGGCTTGTGGAATTTTGAATGGCAAGGGAATCACTCTTTTCTCCATTGCTGCTTTGTCCAAGTGTTGTGTGTGCAGTAGACTAAGTGTGGATACTTAGGCGCATACATGATATTAGTCATGAGGGTGTATGGATGTTAATGCTTCGCAAACCAAAACGTATGGATGTGGAATGAGGATGGGGGTGTGAGGTGTACGAAGGCATGACCCTGGACAGTGCTTGGGTATCAAACGTCTGCTTCTATGCATGTGTGTTGGTTTCCCCTTGTTCTCCCCGAGCCTTGCCGATTCCCTACGTGACATGTGAGCATCGGGAATTGTCGCCAACTGTAGTACCCTCTCTCCCCTCTCGCGCACGAGTGTCACGTGTCAGTTGGTCCTGTGCCATCAGGCTGAGTGCTGGCAACCAGAGACAGCAGGCACATACATCTAAGCGCGCCGCCCTCTCTCTTTGCTGTCTAAGCGCACCGCCCTCTCTCTTTGCTACCTGGCCATCGTCGTTTGGCACAGTGACAATTCTGGCACAGTGACAATTCTAGGATCAACAACGCTGTGTCCCTGAACTTGCATTCTATTTTAAGTAGGAGGGAGTGGGGCGCCACTCATTTAGACTTGTATGGAGTCGAGATGTGCTACGTTAAACGTGGACGCGGGGCACTGTTCGTGCAACACCCTTTCATCGATCCGCCGTAACCCGCTTCCGTCCTTCCCGATCGCATTCGAAGATGGTGTGCACTGCGATGCCGATGTGCAGAGTGCGTTGATGGGATCCGGCCAGGCTCATTTATACAACCCATCCAAGCCTTGCCATCTAGGAGGGGGGGGGGGTTGTGATTGATCAATTTTTGTCCCCGCCCTTGCTCTTGCCTTTCACTGATTGGACAGTGCTACCTTGGTCGGCAGCGCACACCACGTGGCAGCCCCAGTTTAACTGGGGCTGGTGTCAGGGGGGAGACTGGTGTTCCTGGCAACAGCTCTTGCTAGGGTACGAAGGCTCCGTCCGGTTCCCAGAACTCGTATGGTGCCCTCTACCGGCAAGCTCCCGAACCTGGGTTCCTACGGCCCCGCCCCAACTGGACGACGACGCTCAGAGCCAACCGCACGGCCTTGATGAATCCGACTCGGAAGCTTAGAGGCTCCTTATCTCTTGGGTTCTTGCAATAGAGTTGGCTGTGAACCTAGCANGGAAGCTTAGAGGCTCCTTATCTCTTGGGTTCTTGCAATAGAGTTGGCTGTGAACCTAGCAGGAGAGAAGCGGTAGATTCCGCGTCTTCCCTTTTCCTTTCTTTTTCTATTAACAAAAGTGCGTGGCTCCTTAGGCACCACAGTGCAGAATTTTTACCCTTCAGATCCTCTCCTGTATTCCCCATCAAGCCCCTCTGTTGGCCCTAATTTTTGGAATAACCCCGGAATAAAGCGAGAATCCCCCGTTCCGTCTTGGTGATTCAATCCCTGCCTAAAATCCTCATCCACCCCCATTCACTCTGATCGGGCATCTCTCGGTACAAAACGCAGGGTTGTGAGATTGCTCATCAGAACCCGCCCCGGAACTGATCTCATCAGTCCCCAAAAGTTGGGCTGAGCTGATTCCCCCTGAGGCTGTCCCTAAAATTGGGACCTTGTTCAAGAAAGAGATACTAAATGAGAAGAGCAATTCCTATGCTTGGTAGGGAGGGATGCTCTGTGCAAACTTGACATTACATAAGACCGCGCAAGTACATGAGGGCACTCATGACAATCAAGCTCAGCTTACTGCAGCGGGCACAGCCATGCCAGTTCTGCGGAGGGATCAATCTAGCTAGAGCTGGAAACATGGGGAGACAACAACTTGGAATCTCAACAAGCTTGCCAAAGGAGTGAGGCATCGACGCCAATCCCGCAACCGGGACTGCTGAGATTACAGCGAAATGGGAAAGGTCCTTCCATCACCTGCAACCTCCCTGCTGCAAGGAGCTGCAGAAGCTCTGGTCGAAGCTCATCCTGATCGCATCTCAGAAGATGGCCTCTGTTATATTTACACAGCTACCCCGGTGAGAAAACACGTATTCGCCTACAAAACACCAAGTATAACAGAGCTACGCCGAGAAAACACGTATCCGGACGCCTACATAACACGGATCCGGCTATGTACAATTTCCAGCCTGCAAAAGTCGTTACACGGACGGTCCTCCCACCAACCACCACAGACCCAACTCCATTACGGACAGTGAGCCTAAGGACTGGGCAGACAAAACGCTATAATTGATGTCGTGTTCTGTAGTACTGTCACGGCGGTGTCTGATAGTGAGTGCACTCACGAGTTGGACAGTTATACAGCAGACAGTAGCATAGACCTACGCCGAGACGGATCTTTTCGAACGCTGTGATAGCTGCCGGCTAACGATTCGGACTTCGTATCCGATTATCTTCGCTGGCGAGACCTCGCCCGGCATACACCCTCCAACTTACAATCCAGCCTCTCCACATTACATGACTCGCCCTGCATGCTGCCATTTCCACATGACATTGCCAGAAACTAAAAAGAAATCATAACTGTGACAGACGATGTGTGTGTGTGTGTGTGTGTGTGCATGTACGCGTGTGTGTGTGTGTGTGTGTGTGTGAGAGAGAGAGAGAGAGAGAGAGAGTAGAACATTGAAAGGGCACGTCTCTCTCTAGAGGCACTCAGCCTGCCGCTGCGCGCCAGTGACTTGTCAGTTGTAAGCAGTCTGCCGCGTCATCGCCACGGCGCACCAGTGACTTAAAATGTAACGTAAGGGACGCCGGGTGACGTCCCAGCTTGCAATGATTATGCTTTCGGGAGCCAAAAAAAAAAAAAAAAAAGAAGTATCTGCTAAGCTATAAGCACGGAGAACAAAAACAAAAGAATCATTCATTCCATTCATGGAGACCCATTATTACGATTCGAAATTCAGACCTAAGTTCGAATCGTCCCAGCTTGCAATGAGGGCGGGGAAGGAAGAGGGGTGCCGGGAGGAAGAAAGGGGAAGGAGAGGGGGGGAGGGGAAGGAAACGTTGATTGTTCATCTGTATTCTGGAAACAGGAGTCCGAACTTCTTTTTCTTTGGGGGGGGGGCACCATTTCTCAACCTAATCGTGTCAACCCCGCGTATACCATAACAGCATATTCCTCCGGTTCTCCGACTCTACCCGCCAAACACGTAAAACAATCCGATACACCCTTGAACTGTCGGGAACAACGGACATGAGGGCGAATTCAAATGGAACTCGATAAATGAGAAGAACAAAGAAAAAGCGAAACACTCATTTAATGTCGAAGCATAATCGACTTGAGGGCGTCCGATCTTAACTTACAATGCCAAAGCATTCGGTCGAACTGCCAGAACCAGACACGAAAACGTTTTCCTTTCACTTTCAACTGTTGAAAAACACAACGGAGGTCGAATCCATCTAGATGAAACTAGATAAACGCAAAGAAAACACAACGGAGGTCGAATCCAGGCGAAACTAGTTAAACGAATTGGGGAAAAAATAAAAAACACTCAATTTATGTCGAAATAAAATCGCCGTGAAGTCGTCCAATCTCCAATTACATTGCCGAAGTATTCGGTCCATCAACTCCGAGAAGCAGAAACACCCCACCATTCCATCTAAAGCTCTGTTAAGCGTGTTTGTTTGATCTGTTTCACTCCCACAGATAATAGGTCGAATAACAAACATCGACTTATTGCAGTTCACCTTATACCTCTCCCTACTCCCTTTTCTCTTCTCCCTACCCGCAACAAGCTACCCAAGTTCGATGCAAGAAAACGCACAAGACAACACATCGTCTCACTATGCTTCCGCCAATCAGACATCACGAGGGAAAAACACAATCGAGTGCCCTCGCAATGACTGCTCTCAACTAATTACCTACTACCTACCTACGCACACAACACACACACACACACGCCTACTCCCTCACAATCATCTAAGCCTTGGAGATGTGCTCAATCAACTCCACCACACGGTTGGAGTAACCCCACTCGTTGTCGTACCACG